CTACACACTCTCTATCTTTCTTTATTTTTCTAATTCAGAGTCTTCCCCCTTTCTCTCCCTGCTATCTTCTTCCTTATTTTCATTCTTTATTTCATCTATTCTCACGAATCGCTCTCTGATTTTAGATCCTTTCTTTCTCTATTCTTCCAGTCTTTACAACTCTCTCCTTTACATCCCCTCTTCAGTCGTTCTTTTTTCTATTCTCGCATTTACTTCACCCCCCCCATCTGTCCTTTCTAATTCTGTCTCTCCACTACTCTCCCTCTCTCTTTCTGCTTAAACTTTCTCTCTCTTTACACTTCAATTTCTTTTTCTCTCACACTTTCACTTACTTCCACTCTAATATTATATTCTCTCTCTTCCTGCTCTTTGAATTTTCCTATGAACTTGTTTAGTGCTTTCCTTAATCTCTCGACCTCCCATTTCTTTTCTCTCTAAAATTTGTCTTTCTCTTTGGTCCCCCCTCTCTGTCTCTCTTCCTGCTCTATATCATCCCCCTTTGCTTCACATTGTTTCTCCAATCTTTAGTCTCTCGTTCCTCTATTTATTCCCTTCCATTTCCCAATGTATTTATTTTCTATTTCGCCCCTTCTGCTCTTCATTCGTATACTCTCCCTCATTTTCTTTCTTTCTTTTCATTCCTTCCTTCCTTCTTTCCTTACTTTCTAAATTTCTTTATTTCTTTCTTTCTTTCTTTCTTTTCCTTCCTTCCTTCCTTCCTTCCTTCCTTCCTTCCTTCCTTCATTCATTCCTTTCTTTCTTTCTTTTCTTTCTTTCTTTTCCTTCCTTCCTTCCTTCCTTCCTTCCTTCCTTTTCCTTTCTTTCTTTCTTTTCTTTTCTTTCCTTCCTTCCTTCCTTCCTTCCTTCCTTCCTTTCTTTCTTTCCTTCCTTCCTTCCTTCCTTCCTTTTCTTTCTTTCTTTTTCTTTGTTTTTCCTTCCTTCCTTCCTTCCTTCCTTCCTTCCTTCCTTCCTTTCTTTCTTTCTTTCTTTTCCTTCTTTCCTTCCTTCCTTCCTTCCTTCCTTCCTTTCTTTCTTTTTTTTCCTTCCTTCCTTCCTTTTCCATCCTTTCTTTCTTTTTTCTTTCTTTCTTTCTTTCTTTCTTTTCTTTCCTTCCTTTCCTTCCTTCCTCCCTTCCTAAATTTCTTTCTTTCTTTCTTTTCCTTCCTTCCTTCCTTCCTTCCTTTATTTCTTTCTTTCTTTCTTTCTTTCTTTCTTTCTTTCTTTCTTTCTTTCTTTCTTCCTTCCTTTCTTTCTTTCTTTCTTTCTTTCTTTCTTTCTTTCTTTCTTTTCCTTCCTTCCTTCCTTCCTTTCTTTCTTTCTTTCTTTTCACTCCTTTTCATTCTTTCTTTCTTTTCAGATTCATCAACTCTTTCGACCCTTTTCTCTTTCTTTCTTTCTGTTTACTCTTTATTTATCTTCTTATCTCCCTAATATTTCTCTCTCCCTCTCTCTCTCTTCTATTCTCTCTTCCCTCTCTCTATAATCCCCTTCCCTTATATTGTTTCTCCAGTCCTTATTCTCTCGCTCCTCTTCCTACTTCCTTCCATTTTCCAATGTATTTATCTTCTCTTTTCCCCGTTCTGCTTTTCACCCGTATGCTCTCTCTCTCTCACTCTCTCTCTCCTTTTCTTTCTTTCTTTCTTTCTTTTTAACTTTTTATTTATCTTCTTACCTCTCGAATTTATCTCTCTCTCTCTTTACCTCTCTCTTCCCTCTCTCTATTATCCTCATCTCTTACATAGTTTTTTTTGCCCCCCCAATGTATTTCTCTTCCCTTTTTTCGGCTTCATCTCTTCATACGCATGCTTTCCCTCCTTTCTTTCTCTCTTTCTTTCCATCTTTCTTTATTTCTTTTCTTTTCTTTTCATTATCGACTCTCTTTTTTTTCTCCTCTCCCTGCTTTTTACTCTTCATTTATCTTCTCTAATTTCCCTCCGCCCCTTCTGAAATCGTTTCATTCTTATCCACTAACCCTTTTCTACTTATTTTTCCGAATTATCCGTACAGGTTTCTTATTTACATGGATTTTCCATTAACCTCTTTTAACCTCTGCCGAAATTTTGCTCATATTAAGATATTTTTTTTTTATTATTATTATTTCTTTTCTAAAACATTAAATAGGGATTAAGCGAAACTTAAATGCATTTCCCATTCACTAAAATCTGGCGCCCAAATCAGAAAACAAACTGAACAGATGGTGGGAGGCAGAACCGTCCTGAATAAAGAAACAACATCAGTGAAACTCGAAAACATGTGTCCACTAACAAAATGGCGACCAGTAGCAACGACCAAAATATCTTGAATGCCTAACAAGTTTGTCTCCGTGTATAAAATATCTTGATATATATATATATATATATATATATATATATATATATATATATATATATATATATATATATATATATATATATATATATATATATATATATATATATATATATATATATATATATATATATATATATATATATATATATATATATATATATATATATATATATATATATATATATATATATACATACATTGGACAGAGTTCGTTGAAGTCCAAAAAAGACAACACGTATCACACGAAAACGTTTTCTTACTTTGTCTTGCATTTTTGACACAATAATGTGTATATATATATATATATATATATATATATATATATATATATATATATATATATATATATATATATATATATATATATATATATATATATATGTGTATATATATATATATATATATATATATATATATATATATATATATATATATATATATATATATATATATATATATATATATATATATGTATGTATGTATGTATGTGTGTATATGGGGAAAATGATATATGGAAAATCAGAAAGCTTTCGTGTGACACTTTTTTATATTTGTATTAAATCACTCTTTCCCCCAACCTCTGTATATATATATATATATATATATATATATATATATATATATATATATATTATAAATGATTTATTTAATATATGTTTTTTTTTTCGCTACACAGTTCTAACCATGTTTCAAAAATGGAAGCTAAAAGCTACGAGTTTAATTTTGTAATTAAATTAAATAAATCAATTAAATATTTAATTTTGTAATTAAATTAAATAAATCATTTTATAATATTAATGCTCTGTAAATTTACATTGAGCACTATTTTGTAAAAATAAATATCAATAAGAACACCGCATTATATATCTTACTGTTCTTTTTTTTTATTTACACACACACACACACA